CGTGAACATTTTCCACAATGAAAATGATTGAATTACAGCAGTTCGGCCTTTAATGGATCTTTGGCTCGTAAAAGGTAAGACATAAAGTCTGCTTCAGACCTGCTCAATTAAAACTGGGAGGGTAGTGGTCAGCCTTCTGCCGCTCGGGACATGAGTTATGGATGCCAGTGCGGCGTTTAAGTTGAAGTAGTTCAGGATACCAGATCAATGAAGATCAATCTTTGAGCTTGTTACAAACATGTTACATAATATTAGTTGTTATAACATATGTTACTATCAAGTGGAGTGCTGCTTCAAGTGCAGATTCAAGTTAGAAAAACATACCAAAGAAGGAGATCTGTGATCTCTGTTACTGTATACTGTATATGTTATGCAGCAAGCTTATCTCGCCTAGTTTGGAGAAACACTGACCACCTGGGGTATGACTAATACACACACACACACACAAACAAACAGTTTGCTGATGCGGCTGCTTCAAAGGCTGTTTTTGTGAACATCATAATCACATAACACACTGCAGCTGTTGGCTGTTAAGGATTATGGCGAAGGTGACGTTAGCCGGGGGATTAGCATATTTTCATTTCACTAAACAATAGGGGTAAGGTATTACTTCTGAAAATATTTCTACAGTAATAATGGGTCATTTTTTCATACTGGTCTTTTATATACAATAAAAGTGAATGGTGACATGAGCCGGTCAAGTCCCAAAAAGGAATTAGTCCATATGAGCAATTTGACAGCTTGGTGTAAAAAAAACTTGTATGATTCAAGGCTGCAAGTGTCATTTAGATTGCTCTTTCGGTTGCACTTACTTTTACAGTATGTGTATTTACAGTGTACTTAAGAAAATACTGGGTAATTTAAGCATTAGGTATAGGTGGGGTCTTCTTACCAAGTTATTGTAAGTACATGCGGAGAACAAAAAATTAAGTGCTATCATACTAGTGCATTTTGTCTTTTTTTGGACATACACGGTGGGGTCTGCCTTTTAAATGTTTTTTTTGGGGAAAAAGTCACTTATGCTTACCATTTGATTTTACCATCTATTGGTAAAATCAGTAAAAACAACAATAATATTATTTCAAAATGATTATTACTCTGCTCAGGAACCATTTTGTATTATCAAAGTTGAAAGCAGCTGTGCAGCTTACTATTTTTGTGCAAACCATCATACATTTTTGTCACACTGTAGAAAAATAGTGTTGGTTTAACTTAAAAAAGTAAGTAACCTGGTTGCCTTAAAATTTTAAGTTGATTGAACTGGGAAAAAGTGAGTTAATACAATGAAGGAGATTAATTTAGTCATCAGAAACTCAAAATAATAAGTTATCTCAGCTAAATAAATTATTTAAGTTGATTTGACAAAAGAAAATGTTGTGATAAGTCTTGAAAATATTTTTTTTTACAGTGCAGGATTGCTGGATGAATAGATTTATGCATTTATTTAAAATACTTTTTGACTATTTAATACACCCTTGCTACATACAGTAATCATAATTTCTTACTATTGTGAATATATGCAGATCACACTATAGGCTATAGTGTATGTGTCCACAAAGAAGTAATTATAATGAAAAAAATAAATCATAATTCAGATTATTCTTTCATTGGTTTGTTTGTCCAAAAGCTTTGACATTGCATGAAGGTGATAAACATGTTATCACTGAACCCTTTGTTTGTTTTCATTTCTGCTGTTTTGAGGATTAACCAAAGTAAAGGTAGCAGGTTGATACTGCCATATCTTTGCTTTTTTCCCGCTGCTCACTGACCCAATTCATTAGATAAGATGGCTTGCGTTCACCCCACCTTGTGCCTCTACCATTCACTGAGGATCAGGCATTTATAATCCCTGGATTTTATATCCACCAAAACAGCTTGGTCCCATCAGCAAATTGCGATGGCATATGGTATAGGTTTATGATTCATCTGGCACTTGCATAGCAATGAGGCCCCATCAGCCGTCAAAAAAAAAAAAAAAAACAGGGAAAATATCGTAATGTTAAATGATGCCAGCGACTGGGAGAGGTGCTGCTGGGTGCGTGGGCGGCCTGTGTTTGTGCGTAGAGAACTTGGAGCATCTAAGGTAGTAAAGCGCCTCCTCTCAGTGCATCACTGCGGTGGGCAGGCTGGATTATGGGCGGTGTTGGCCGAGCTGGAATGGTCCGTGTTCTTCCGACGGCCCTAGTCAATGACAATTAAAACATTGTCCGACATGTGTCGCTGATTTGACAGCGAATCACCTTTTGATCCCTAACACTCTGCTAATGTTTAGTAACATCCTGAAAATGGGAAATAAAGAAAATCTTTAACTACTCTAGCATTTTTTCTGTTGCAGCCTGAAATGTTATTGCAAATTGCTCAAACATCTGCTGCAAAATTTTAAAAGCTGTTCTGGGCTTCAGATGACACAAAGGTTCTGAAAACAGCAGAAAAATCACCTCCGGTCATTGTTTCTTTCATGTCCATTAACTGAACTTCTCTGACCAGTGGCAAGGTGACTTCTGTTAGCTGCTGCAGGCTCCGCCCTCATTCGTGGCAGCTTATTGTTTCTCGTTTTGGATTGGCTAAAAGACATGCCAGTCATTTCTTGCAGCAAGCTGCGCAGAGAGCAATATTTTCACTCTCATGCTGGAGTCAAAAGTGAAGTGACACTCGTATGTTGTTTTTTAGCATTAACAGACGGAGCGATTCGCCCACCCCTAACCCTCCCAGCACTGAGGTGAGTGTGCCGGCTCTCAGTGTCAGCAAATGCCTCATGGTTGGTTTGCTTTGATTTTTTGAGCTACGCTGCGAAACATCATTTATAGGAGGGGAAATAACTAAAACTCCATGTAATTGTTTTAAGTAAAAACATTTTTTTTTAACATTCAGTAAAATACCATAACACACTAATCCCCCACCTGCACTTTCCACATGGTGCATTGTGCAGTTAAACTCTTCACTGCATGATCAGGACTTGGTTTTATCCACTTTGAAACACATTGCATAAAATCAAGTGTCAAGTCTAACAAGACTGTCTTTAAAAGAAACCAGCTGATTCCAGCGACCTCCCTTTGAAAGGTTAGTATTTCAGCAGGGTTAAATTACCGTAACCCACAATTCTTAGATAACTGTGAAAACTGGTATAACCTGTAAACTTAGACCAGCTTAAACAGAGAACAGCTGCATTAATCTGCCCTTTCTGTTTATGGCCATCGTTAGTTGAGAAGATGCTGTCGGATTTTGTTCACAAAGCACATACTGCTCTTTTAGAACAATATAAACATTATATGTCTGTGTTTGACCACACTTTTTTTTTTTCAAGAAAATGTAATACTATGACAAGTTTCAAAGATGGCATAAAATCAAACCACCTAATTATTTGGCAAAAAAAGAAGTGGACCTCCTCTGGTGGAATAAATAAATAAATATTCAACCCAATCTCACTGGAATTCGTACGAATTTTACAAGGTGGCTAATTCGTAACAATTCGTACGACCTCACTCGTACGAATTAGTACGATTTTGCTAAATCGTACATATTTTACGAATTAGCCAATTCGTATGAATTCGTACGAATGACCTACCCCTGACCCCGCCCCTAAACATAACCGTCACGTGGGTTTAGACAAATCGTACAAATTCGTACGAGTGAGGTCGTATGAATTAGTACGAATTAGCCACTTTTGAATCACTCGTACGAATTCGTACGAATTGGTCGTGAGATAGGGTAGAAATATTTGATGAAATCCATTCTGATCCCTCCTTAGACAGCAATGCCATTGCAACTTTCAAGACCCTGAAAGGTAGTAAATACATTGTTAAAATAGCCCATGTGACTACAGTGGTTCACATGTAATGTTATGAAGGATCTGACACATATAGAATTAAATCAAATTATATAATTATATAAAGTACATAAATTGTCAAATAAAGTCGTTATTTTTTATTTTTTTTTCCACACAAAAGTATTTTCATCGCTTCATAAGGTTAAGATTGAACCACTGTATCACATAGACTATTTTAACATTGTCTTCACTACCTTTGGGCCTTTGAAAGTTGCAATGACGTTGCGGTCTATATGGAAGGATCACATAGCTCTCAAATTTCATCAAAAATAATCTTAATTTATGTTCTAAAGATGAACGAAGGTCTACGGGTTTAAAAACAGCATGAGGGTAAATTATTAATGACAGAATTTTAATTCTTGAGTGAACTATCCTTTTAATTCCAACAAGTCTTTGAAGAAAGTTTGAAGTTCCTCTTCATCAAACTTGGAGGATGAATATTTTTTTTATATATAATTCAGCATTTACAGCCCATAAAATATCTTTCAGACAATGTGAACCTGTGATAATGAGTCATGCCACTCAACTCAAAGCGTTTTCTTAGCTTAAGTGGAACATCTCATTTTGAGACCTAATGTTGTGTTAAAGGCACAAGTTTGGACTCTAAAAGAAGTGGTTTTATGTTCATAACCAGGTGCGTGAAACGTCTCTTACGCCTCATTTCAAGGGGAAATTATGAGCAGCACTGAACCCTATAAAGCTTTTGGTCACGCATTACTGTATGAGGCACAGCTTGAGAGCAGGGTTAGGTGGGAATCCTGTAGGTTTAATGACGGTTGAGTGTATGCTTAACAAGGGCCTTGGATTGAGAACAATGAGTTAAGTGTGTAACCTATATCACAGCCTAGAATTAGGAGATAGACCTAAATGGGAGCATGTGTAAGGAACCAAACTAATCAAACTGTGTATTCAAAATAATGTTAGCTACAGAAGAAATGTGTGTTTAAAAGCGTTCAACACATTTAGTCAGTCCGCTAATAGTCAGATAAGACAGATAAGCAGATGTTTTGGTTTAGAGCAGTTTATCACATGAAAATATGGCTTTTAATAATTCACTATTACTGAGTGTAAGCTGTGCAGAATCATTTACAGTAATCTGCTTAAGTGTGATGCCTGATGAATCATTAAAGTTCAGTGTCAGTGATACTGACAAGTGCTTAGAATGGACACGGGGTCATTTAAAAACAATGTGCCATTTATTTTATACAAAATGCAAATACAAAAGATACAAAAAAGTTTGAAACTTCAATGCTGAATAGGAAAAATAAGATCATGTTATGTGCTAAATGCTATTGTGTGTATGGTGTGCATTACTTTCAGACAACAACTGCAGAAAAACAGATGACTAACATTGTGAACATAGTCTAATTGTTTATGGTGAATCTGAGTGTCTCCAGCTTTCTGCAATGGATCAAACTATTTTTAGAGTTTGCTGCCGATTGTGAGGGCGAATTTTCTGCCCACTTCTTTTCCTTGTTTGTTTCTTGTTATTTCTGTGCATTTTACTCAAATTATTTCTGTACACTAACACTGTTTTAAAAGTAATTTTTAACAAGTGCACTAGTAAAGTTTATATCTGCAGACCAATTGGTGTCAGGGAAAAAAGAATCATGAAATATTACATTGTCAAAAAAAAAAGGCTGAAAGTTCACAAGGGCTGAAAGTACTAATATATATATATAAACCTGACCTGGTTTTCAGTTCAAATAAAAAAAATATCATTACTAATACATTGTTTCTTTACATTTTAATGTATAAAAAAACAGTGCACAGTTGTCATGACTGAGTTGCTTAAAAACAATTTTTTGTAAATCCAATTTCTAAAATTAAAAACTTTTTTCACCTAAAACAGGTGCAATTATCCTATTTTACAATATTCAGATTTTTTTACATAAGTTATTATTAATAATATTTTTTTTTAGCTGGAGCTAATTTCAACACTTAAAAGAATAAATCCAATTTGCTACGCAAAAACAAAAGGTTGCACTAACTTCTCTTTCCACACACATTAATGGCTATATAAAAAACCAACAAAAATAAAAAAACACACACACACACACACAGGAACCACAATCAATAAAAAAATATAAATATAACAATATAAAATGCATAAAAGAAGACGTAAAAATAAAAGGTAAATAAAAACAACAAATAAGATAAAACAAAGCAGAAGCTCTGGTGAGGTGGAAAAATAGCATGTAAGGAGCCGTTAAACACATCAAGCCATTTTGCAGCTAGTATGTAAAATACTCAACCAAACATTTTTTTAAAATTGTCATTCTGTGATCTGTGACGTATAAAAAGAAACAAAAGCTGAATTACACTCACCTATCTATCCATAAAGTCCATTAGCTAAACTTGTACAGTAAGTGCCACTCTGAGAACGATTCCAAATGTTTCAACTTTTCTATGTATTTTTTCGGCTGTTTCTTTTTTTTTTTTTTTTTTGGAGGGGGTGGAGGGGAACAATTATGAACGTCCCAACAATTATGACGCTACAAACAAAGAAATAATTAAACAAGGGCTTTTTCCCCCGATGGTCCTGCCATCGTGCACACTTGCATGCCCACCGAGTGCGAGCGACTGCGCCCCATTCTGTTCCCCCCTCAAACTTGATGGTTGTTGAACTTATTTTTAGTGTCATTTGATAAGCTTCCCTGCTTGCACCGAGACATCCCACTGACCCAGCCACTGGTCATTGTCTATACCACTTCCCGTCAAAGCCGGCACGCTTTGTCAGATTTCGACTCGAATATCCATTTTGCATCTGAAGTAGCGTATCGAAAGTGACTGGATCGTTCGAGCCTTTTTCTTCAGCTGCCGCCCCCTTCCTCCCCCACAGTGTTTCCACTGACACTGACATCATTCACGATCGTCGTCATGACAGCGCGTTAAAGAAATCTAAAATAAATATATATTGCTCGCTTTTCTGTGTGCAAGTGGAGGGGGGAGTGCGATGTGGATAATTTCTGGAAATGAACAATACTTATCCGTCCGTCGCCCCTTTCGGTTTGATCTTTCGAGAGTATTGGACGAGGGTGTCATGTTAGCACAGCTAAGGAACTCCTTAATTGTACAAAATTCTAAAGTGGTCAGACCTCAAACAAAAGATAAATCTCTAAAGTTGCCTTTACACTAATCAAAGTTTGATATTCCTATCCCAAGAGAACTTGAGCACAAAATGCTTGTAGATCAGATGGATGGACGGTTGTATTGATGCTTTAAACCTTTTAACTGAGGGGCATGTTTCTGAATTGGGACCGTCTATGCATTAGTGAGCACAGAACAGACTGCCAAATAAGTGGGGAGGAAGCACCGACCACCAGAGTTAAATCTGTCCCTCAAAACCTTGCCGGAGAGCTTTGGTCACAGGGTGTCTCGCGGTGCAATAACGCTCTATTAATTTCTCTGCGCTGTCCTCGCACTGATAGAAAGGTGTCTTCACGAACTAAAGGGCAAAGTCTTACTGCGTCCAATACCTTAGGGCATTCTGTCTACAATTTGTCATGCGTGTGCACTTCTCAGTGTTAAAATGACAAGATCTCCAGTCAAAGAAGCCCCGCTAGGCATCCGACGATAGTGGGCTTGGAGAGATTTTTGTGAAGAGACATTGCCAAGAGGCAAAGTACTTCTGCACTCCATGAGCCTACTGGGATTAGTTCTACTTCCCAGCCAACGGCAAAGAGCCTCATCTGATTCTGCTTTTTTTCCTTCCTTTTTCTCTGAAATAGCCTCCGTCTGTGTCCATAAGATTAGTTTTTTATTTCCTCAGAAGGCACAATATGGTCAGAACACGAAAAAGCCTTTGCTGTGCATTAAAGCTGCAAAATCAGACACTTTTTGGGGGGTTAATCTATTTAGTCATCTGCTTGCCATTCAATAGCTTGAAAGAAGTTTTGGAAAGCCAATACGAAGATACTCTAAAGTGGTCAAAGAAGCTGTCATCTCGAGGAAATGATGCTTTTTTTCTGTTGTCCCATCTGATATACTTGGAAGTCAAAGTATTTCAGAGACCGGAGACTGTCGTCTATTGATGCTGCATCCGATTGAAATTTATACAGCGTCCCTAGAAGAAAAAGAAAAGGTCAGGAGAAGATTTATTTAATTAACTGACTGATTAAATCATGTATTTTTAGAGTATCATTGCATTTATAATAACAACAATTGTTATTAACATGTTTTTGTGCCTATTTAAGACATGTCAGGGTGGTGAAAATATGATAAAATGAAATATATAATATAAAACATAAAATGTGAAAATAAATATATATACATGAAAAAAAAACTTATTGGCTTTTTTTCTTTTCAAAATGGCCCTTATTTTACTTTTCCATATATATCTGATTCCCTTTAAAAAGTATTTATAATTAAATACATAGATAATAAAAAATTTAAATGTATATTATATTAAATTATTTAAATAACACATCAAGATTGGATAAATTCTTTATTTATTTTTCCTTACAAATAACAACTGGATCACACCCTTATACCCAGACACAAACAAATAAAAACAACACAATAAAAAAATACTCTTTTTTGCAGTACTTATGTTCAGTGATTAAATGAATCATAAATATGTGGTGTTTGCTCCTGTGCTCTATAGTTTGTGTTTCGTCAAACGGATAAACTGGGTGCAATGGCACCAAGAGGGAGCTCTCGCATAGCGTATAACCACCATACACACTCCCAAGCACTCACTCCCCCACACACACACACACACACACAGGATTCATTAATGCTCTACTGAACCCAGGCACTTTTATCATTGAGAGTTAATATATTTCCCCCATCATGTATGATTGATAACTAGTGTGTAACAACCAACAATGAAAAACTAAAATCACAGTCGCCTGCCCTAGTTTCAAGTCGCAATTGGCATTAGATATTGGAAGAAACCCAGAGTCTTCATAGACTAACCACGAATAAAGGGCTTTACGTTGTCCCTGCATCGTAAGCCATGTGAGGCGCACCCTCTGCGATAGATCTCACTCCGTCAACAAATAAGGCACATCAGATGCTGTTTTGGCCACAGCCGATTGTGTGGCTAAGTTTACTGGATTTTGCAGGCTTTGAAGCAGGAACTCTGAAAGCTGTCCTCCTCCACCACAATATCCGTGAAGGGGCTCTGCTGTAAGATTCGACCAGGTGCAGAGCAATACGGTCACATCCAAACCCACGGTCAGACCCATTTTAACTCCATCGCTCCCGGGCAAGAGCACTTGGCGTTGGACACTATTGTCCAACGCCAGACAGAGCCCACCTGTGCCATGAGAATAGAAGGACCATGGGCTAGATATTAAGGTGACTTTATTGGATAGGGTGTTGTGGGTAAAAGCGTATATGCTGAAGAGACATTTGTTTCTCACTCGAGACACGCAAAATGTCATATTAAAATGTAACATTTCTCTTGTGTTTGTTACATTGTATAAATAATATTGTGTTTTTGCTTTATCTTTACAAAATGATCCTGACTCCAAGCTTCAGAGTCTCTGTGTGTAGTCTTTGTGCTAAATTGGTCAATATGCAGCTCAATTATCACAAATACCACGAAGAGACAAATATCAAACAAGTTGAGCTGAAAGTTGTTGAATGCATAAAAGCAGAAATAATTACACCACTCTGGAAAGACACTTGATTGGACTGATCAGATTTCTCATGGTTTCATGCCATCTTTAAGAGATCACACAAGGCTCAGTTCATCAAGAGCTTCACCTCTGTGACCCCACACATATGCTACACCTATACAGATCAGTCAAACAGAGCCAGCCGGTTGGGGGGCCGTCATTATCGCTGCTCTTTGGAGCGCTCTCCGAGCCGCACCATTCAGACGGCCACCAGACTTTACAGAAAGATGTCCGCTGCTCTGATTAGCCGTGTACATGGGCACTTGTCCAAAAGAGTCTGCATGTGTTTTTGCATCTAATCTTCTGCTAGCCACTCTCTGGAACAGCTTGATTCCCCCAACCCTGGAACTCGCAGAGGAGACGTCTTGCACTTTCTGTTCTTTGGAGGAGTGAGATCCAGGAATCGAGAAAGGTGGAACTTGGAAAGCAGCCCATGTCTTTTTCAGGACCATCCCATTTCATCTCATATTCCACCAAAAAGATAAGTAAAATACTATGTACACTAGAGACATGAATCATTGTGTGGCTGTTTGTCAAATGGCTTTTTCATTACTAGCTCAAATAGCTGATTCCCTTAAAAAGTAAAAGCAAATATATATATTACAAAAAATGAATAAATATGTATAATTTAAATAACGCATACATACTTTTATTAATCAAGAATACATTAAATTAATCAAAGGTTACACTCAAACTTGTAAAATAATATGTCCAATTAAAATATATAATTTAAATAATATACATAGATACTTTTATTAAGCAAGAATGCATTAAATTAATCAAAGGTAACACTAAAACTTGCTAAAAACTTATATCATTTCAAATAAATGCTGCTCTTTTGAACTTTCTATTCATCAGAGAATCCTGAAAAACACTAAAATATTAAACAGCACAACAGTTTTTTTTCCGTTTTGTTGATATAAAGAAAAAAAGTAACAAAATCTTAGTATCACGATGATATCTGAAGGATCATGACACTGAAGACTGGAGTAATGATGCTGAAAATTCAGCTTTGTCATCACAGGAATAAAATTACATTTGTAAATATATTCAAATACAAAACAGTTCTTTTAAATTGTAATAATATTTCACAAAACGACTGTATTTTAAAGGGTTTTCAATTCTTTCTTTCTTTCAATTATGCCTTATTTATAAAAAACTACTGTGACATTACACAGATTAAGCGCTGTCTTCTAAACCCTATCCGCATATTGAAAATTTTAGAAGATCAAAATGGGACAGGAAGTGCAGCTGCAAACAGGCCTGGGAAATGCCAGAATGTGAGCAATCCTGCACTCTAGAGCTGGCCCCCACTATCTCCACACCCATGGTCCACATACGGCCCACATAGCACCGCCATCTGGTCTGGTGGAGATTCAGAACCAAGCCAAGAGAGCCTAAAATCAATGCCTGCTGACAACTTGGATACATTTTCCAGTTATTAAAAAGTGATATAGGCACTGAAACAGTGAATACATTAAACGCCTCAAGAAAAGGACAGTTACTTTGAGAAATCAGAAAAAAAAGTGAAGAAGCTCACAATTTTACGGTTCTGAAACTGTAGCTGTCACGGGTGAATCAAAACGGATCCTCTGACAAGCATTAAATTTAGAAAAAAATCATGTCAGCATGAGTCTCATGAGGCTACGGAGGGCCTAATAATGCTCTACCCGCGGCTTGCTTTGAAACTGAGAGTTGACAGCATGATGGTGATCCCTGTAATTTAAGTCCACAGCCACAATGTCTTTTGGAAGCACATAGACACCATAAATTACAAGGGGATAAAATACCCTCTCCTGCTGACAATATTTACAGCAAGTCCTGCTGGCTCAAATCAAGTCTTCTGGGTAAATAAAGTGGCATATGATCAGCAATCAAGAGCTGATGACTACCGGATTGACCCACGAGACAGAAGGAGAATGATGGTTTTTAATCTCGAGACACCGGTAAAAAACCCAACACTGACATTAGGTGTCATGATGTTTACAAATTGGTCATTACTGGCTCACATTTTTAGCATAACATTAGAGGCAAAGTTGACGGTAAACAACAACAAGAAAAAAAACCTCCAAACCATCAACCTCTACTAACAATGTTTGCAGTGACGAGGGAACACCATTGTCATGAAGGGTTGTACCTGGTCTTCAACAATGTTTAGTCAAATTTACGTCCACACGAATAGCCAGAACCACGGTTTCCCAGCAAGGGTATTGCCCAGAGCATCACACTCTCTCCATCAGCTTGTCGTCGTCCTACAGTGCATTTTGGTGGCATCACTTGCGCAGATATATGGCACACACATACACGGCCATCCATGTGATGCCTTCATTGCTCTTGTGCATCGATGAGCCTTGGATACCAACAATCCTTGCCTTTTCAGAGATACTCTGACCCAGGAGTCAGAGTATCTCTTGCTGTAAAATTTGGCCCATTTCAAGGTTGCTCAGACTTTAATTCCTGCCCATCTCTTCTGCATCCAACATGTTGATTATGAACAATGACTGTTTGTTTACCATGTAATCTACCCAGACCTTAATACATAGCCTTGTTAGGAGATGATCAACGATATTTGCTTCACCTGTGACTGGTCATTATGTTTTGGCTCATCAGAGTATATACTGCTGTATATCCACCTTATTCTGCTCTAAACAATGCGCACTGCCATGGCGACGACTCCGGTTGCCAACTTCTGAATTGAGTCTGGTCTATGCTTTTTTGCCATGTGTTTTAGATTGTGTCATCCCCACATCGCTAAACTAAATCGAAAAAACCCCCAAAAAAAACATTCATCAAATGTGATCTGATCACGATATTTTTTATTAAATCGCAGATAAAAACAAAATGAACGTTTTTCTTTTCTTCATAACTTCCAAAGGATAGCTGATGCATGACTGCACGATCCCCCTAATCCAGCAATACATGAATATCCAACAGTTTCTATCACCCCGACTGCTGCAGAATAACAGTACTATAGGCTGGTTAGCCCTTTGACTCCTCAAAGATGCATAGTCTATTTATTTCTCAGGCCTGTGAGGAGAGTTCCATTAACATGAGACTACATTATACGCCGAGTTTCATTCATTTATGAGACCAAAGTCCAGTTTGCGCGTCCGTCATGATCATCTATTGTTCACTACATACTTCTTATTTATTAAAACCAGGCAATTGGTTGATGAAACATTTATTGAAATTAACATACAATTAATTAAACACGAAATTCACTTTAAAGAAATGTTTCTTTGTGGTTTCTCTTTAAGATCTCTGTGAAAGTTTAAAAGTCACTTAGTTTCAGAACGGTCATGTCCGTGAATATAAAACGCATGTGTAGACTGATAATTTACCATATATACCACTGATCTATATAATATAGCATTGTATATAGATGAGTGGTCTGGACTAGAGTGCTAGCATTCTATGTAAACAAATACTTCAACAGGAA